TGAAGGAACAAGAAGTAGCCAAGGATAAGCTTCAGCTACTAAGGGAAGTGACAGGGGTGTTTAGGCCAGGAGTGTTAACAGCTTTGATGGGAGTTAGTGGAGCTGGTAAGACCACTTTAATGGATGTTTTGGCGGGTAGAAAGACCGGTGGATACATCGAAGGAGACATTAGAATATCAGGTTTCCCTAAAAGACAAGAAACTTTTGCAAGAATCTCTGGTTATTGTGAACAGAACGATATCCACTCACCGCAAGTCACTGTTAGAGAGTCTCTCATCTACTCTGCTTTCCTTCGTCTCCCAAAAGAAGTCACCAAAGATGAGAAAATGGTAATCCCTCTTCTTGAAAACCTAACACCATTTGATATCAAATAGACTAATTGCAAACACCTATTTTTGTAGAGATTTGTGGACCAAGTTATGGAGTTAGTAGAGCTAATGAGTCTAAAAGACGCGATAGTTGGACTTCCTGGGATTACAGGATTATCAACAGAACAGAGGAAGAGACTCACAATCGCAGTGGAATTAGTGGCGAATCCTTCCATCATATTCATGGATGAGCCGACCTCAGGGCTTGATGCGAGGGCTGCAGCGATTGTGATGAGGACGGTGAGGAACACAGTTGACACAGGAAGAACTGTGGTATGCACAATCCATCAACCTAGCATTGATATCTTTGAAGCTTTTGATGAACTTTTGCTTATGAAAAGAGGAGGACAAGTGATTTACGCTGGTCCTTTAGGCCGAAACTCCCACAAGATTATCGATTATTTCCAGGTAAGATTCTACATTTTTGTTCAATAATTCCATATTAAAATGTAAGAACTTTAGGTCACTAGTCTTTTTGAGAAACCGCAGACGATTCCTGGAGTTCCGGAAATTAAAGAGAAGTATAATCCGGCGACATGGATGCTAGAAGTGAGCTCAATGGCTGCAGAAGCTAAGCTCAAGATAGATTTTGCTGAACATTACAAAACATCATCACTATATCAGTAAGTTAAACATAAGACTCAAAACCATGGATCCTCTCCAATATTTAGACTCAATTAGGATTGATCTTGGTGTAGACAAAACAAGAAACTTGTAAAGGAAGTAAGCACACCTCCCCAAGGAGCACAAGATCTCTACTTCTCTACGCAGTTCTCACAATCATTGTTAGGACAGTTCAAATCTTGTTTGTGGAAGCAGTGGATAACTTACTGGAGAACTCCTGACTACAATCTAGCCAGATTTTTCTTTACACTGGTTGCAGCTCTCATGGTCGGAACAATTTTCTGGAAAGTTGGCACAAAAAGGTTTGGTCATTGACCTTAATCGAATCACGTCCTGAAAAACCAGTACTTACATAAACCCTATACAATTTTTTTTGTTCGTACAAATAGGGACACTGCGAATGATCTTACAAAGGTTATTGGAGCAATGTATGCTGCGGTTTTATTCGTGGGCATAAATAATGCTACATCTGTCCAACCGCTAGTTGGCGTGGAACGAACTGTGTTCTATCGAGAAAGAGCTGCTGAAATGTACTCTGCTTTACCCTATGCCCTTGCACAGGTAAGATTAACCTAGAATCCGATGTTAGTTACTTGGATCACAAGAAACCTTGACGGGTAGTTATTGACTAAAACTTTTCCATTGGTTTCAGGTGGTATGCGAAGTACCGTATGTGCTTATCCAAACTACGTATTATACGCTAGTTGTATATACAATGTTGTGTTTCGAATGGACAGTAGCCAAATTCTTTTGGTTTTTCTTTGTATCATTCTTCTCCTTCCTCTACTTTACATACTACGGGATGATGACAGTTTCCGTCACCCCGAACCAGCAAGTCGCTGCGGTTTTTGCAGGAGCTTTCTACGGACTATTCAACCTGTTCTCCGGTTTTCTCATCCCTAGACCGGTTAGTTTTTTATTACTTCTGTTGCAATAAAGCATAAACCCTTAGGGGTTTTTCTTCTTTTGAGTAGATTATAAGTTTTTTTTTTTAATCTTTTCCACAGAGAATCCCAAAATGGTGGATATGGTACTACTGGATCTGTCCAGTTGCTTGGACTGTTTATGGACTGATTGTTTCACAGTACGGTGACGTGGAGGATACGATCAAAGTTCCGGGTATGGTGGAGGATCCGACGATAAAATGGTACATTGAAAATCATTTTGGGTACGACCCGAATTTCATGGGCCAAGTAGCAGCTGTGTTAGTGGGCTTTACTTGCTTTTTTGCTTTCATGTTTGCCTTCGGGATTAAAATGTTAAACTTCCAACAAAGGTAGAAGGTTTTAAAAGTCAAATACTATGTTTTATATTACTTTCAATGAAGGATAATATTTTAATATTTTTGTAAGAACGTGAAATCTTGGTTATAAGCAAAACCCTAAATAAATAATATACAGAGCATCTGCTTCGGACATCAATGACGATATTCAGACAACTTCCAGATGATTTGGTAGAGGAGATACTCTGTTACGTTCCGGCCACAGATCTGAAACGATTACGATCTACTTGCAAAAGATGGAACTTTTTATTCGACAACCGGAGATTCGCAAATTAAGAAACATTCTGATAAATCCACAAAGCAGTTTAAGGTTGTCATGTTGAGACATAACTCCAGGGTCTGTCCGTTGAGCGTCAATCTCCATGGAACTGTTCCATCTCTAGAGGTAAAAACTGAGCTTAGCCTAATCGACCCTCGTTCTAATGCTCAATTTGGTATATCTCAAGTCTTTCACTGCGACGGTTTATTGTTATGCACCTCCAATGAGTTATCTTTGCTTGTGGCTTGGAACCCCTGTACTGGTCAAACCAGGTGGATCAAAGCCGGTCGCCAAAATATCTCTTCATATTCCCTCGGATACTACCAAGCCAGCAAATCCTCCGGTAAGAGCTACAAAATATTGAACGTTTGTACGGTTGACATATGTTCGGAAATCTACGAATTTAGCTCTGATTCATGGAGGATTATTGACCATGATCGCGCTGGAGGCTTGTATACTTATTGCAGTGGCTCTGAAAACATCGTGCCTTTGAAGGGGAAGACATACTGGCTTGCTACTGATGAAAGAGAAACGCATCGCGGCGACTACTTGCTCGGCTTTGATTTCTCATCAGAGAAATCATCTCCACTTGTACGTCTTCCCTATCAGCGTTCTACATTTGAAATTGTGGTTCTTTCCGTCTTTAGAGAAGAGAAGCTTTCGGTGTTATTACAGCGCGATCGTAGGTCCAAGACTGAGATTTGGGTGACCAGTACGATTGATGGGACCAAACCTGTGTCATGGAGCAAGGTCTTAGCATTGGAGCCCTGATCTTCAAATTTCGACTTTTGGGAATTTCTTGCTAGGCGAGGAGAAGAAAATCGCCCTGTGTTGTGAGAGGTTGGTGGTTGACTTTGACGTTGACGTTGACGTTGAAGAAAAGATGGATGACACGATATACTGTGTTGGGGAGGATAATAAAAGATGGATGACACGATATACTGTGTTGGGGAGGATAATAAAGTCACACAAGTGTACTTTAGAGCAGATACAACTTATTTAGAGGGGCCAGAACTTCTCAGTTATGTTCCAAGTTTGGTTCAAATCGAGCCAGTTGGAAGCAACAAAAGAAAAAGAGGTGACTGAACAAGCTCCTACATGTTGTACTAATCTC